AGACTAAAACGCACAAAAATTCATGAAAAATTTGGACAGAGAAAGTTGACCAGGGCTGAGGAAGGCCAGCCGAGAACTTGAAAGGCAACAAACAACAACAACGATTAACTACATTTTTGGACAGTGACACAAGTCTTTCCGTTTGTTTTTCAAATACCTCATTAATGAATCCATGGGCTTGACTGTGAATCAAATGGTTCAAACATGCAAAATAAAATAAGAAAAATGTCTGTTTTCATTTTAATCTTCATTGAGAATATTTTGAGATGTGAATTAAATACAATATTCAACAACAAGCTCAGTGTTAAACGTGTTCTTGTGTCAATCCAAAGGTCACTGGCCTGACTCAGAAGTATGAGGACAAGCCAATGTTATGTTTTGTAACATAGATTTCTGTACGTCCATCTTCGTATTAGTCTTATAATTATATCTGGATATACATGTATTCAATAGATATTGTATCGTCAGCTTTGTGTGATGCATGGATCTATAATCATAACGGCAAGGGCGTAGGTTTGCGTGGGGACCATGGGGACATGTCCCCACCAATATTTGGTGAGGACTAAAAAGTCCCCACCAAAATGACATGATGTCCCGTGACCCGGACGGTCCGGGACACATGTCTTCCGTTTGTGCATACGTCGCGCCTCCTCCTCGCCTCCAGAGCAACAGCAGCAGCAGCAGCACGTGACCCGTTCCGTTCTCTGCAGTGATTGGCTGTCTTCTTCAGCGCCAAACTGAAGCACTGAGCGACTGTTTAATTTTTTAAAGTTAGCCAGCGTGAAGCAAGTGTTTTATTTCGTTCCCTGAGCGTTGTAGCACGTGAGTAATCAGAGGAAAGTACTGTAGATCTATTACCATTCAAAGTACTTACGTTATTTCTAATCTGTCAGCGCACTGTTTAATGTCCCGAGGAGCTCACACGGCACAGAGACAGAACAGAACTGGCTCCAATAAAGAAACAGGTTGGTTGAAAGGCTGAAAAAATACTTATTGTGCTCTTACTATCCAAAATGTATAAGTGGGTGTGTTGTGCGAATCAGGATAAACTAGGGATGAAAATATTCCACGGATCCACGATTTACAACCTTCATCTGCTGATAATGTGATTTCTGTGAAATGTGTGACAGCGGGCACTTGCTGTTATTTGCTCTAAGCACATTCAAGCGATGCACTCGAATGTGCACGTCCTGGTGCAGCTGCTGCCGCTTTGTAATGACAGCCGCGGCGCTCAGTGAAAGCACAGCTCTAACATGGTACCGAGCTCGGACCATATGCAGACAGAACCATGTTGCAAGTGCGGGTCTCCCTCGTATCTCCCCCGTTTCTCCCCTGTGTCTCTGACATGTCTCTCCCCTGACTCTTCCCAAAGCGCAACCAGCGCTCCCGAAATTAAAGCTTGGATACGTAAATTTTCCATTGCGTTAACGATGCATGCTGGTTGTGCGCAAAACACACCACAACAGGTCATTTAAGTTTTTATTTTGCATACTTGAGAGCCCTGTGAGTCATTACTTGCCTTTTTGGGTTGAGAGTGGAATAAAAAAATATATATATAGAAAAATCCACACTGTTACTTATTGCCAAACTCTTGTTAACTCATTGTATTGAGAAATACTATGTAACTTTTGACATTGGCCAAGTTATATAAATTATTCTGCAGTTCATGTATATGAATGTCTGTTTTTGATTTTCTATACCTTCTTATATAATTTAGAAAAAATGCCACCTCCACAAAAAAAGATAAAAGATATCAGGAGCTTTTTTAACAGTTGGAAAGTAAGTAAGAGAAAGCACAAGTAATAGCAAATTATGAATTGTGATGATTAATCTTCGTTTAACATACATAGGAAACTCAACCAACAAGAGAGAACAATATAGGGAATGTTGAGGTAGAAGCAACAGGCCCTTCAGTGCATCAGGCGAGGTTGGAATTTTGTAGGTATGCATGGGACTATGAATTGTTTTTAGAGATTGATCGTATATGTCAAACAATGTAGTGAGATACTCACTGTAGATTCTAATTCAATATTTTCTCCTCTGTTTTTATTTATTATAGGAAATTGAAAGATCAGAGCATGATTTATTTCAAGTATCGAGAGCAGTTCCTGAACTGTTAGAGCCTCAGGTGAGGGCTATTATGTAGATTTGGATTAGGTTTAAGTCAGTATACATAGTTCCCACAGACCAATGAATGTCACATGACCTCCTCGGAGACGCCATCTTTGATGGCACGCTGCTGTGTTTGTGCATTCCATTAAACAGAAGAATGAGAATAAATGTAGATATTCAAACGCAAATTGGAAAAAAAGGGCAACTTTTGAGCAAATAATTGTATATTAATACAATGGCACCACAGTTTAACGTGCTACGGACATGTTTTACATATTTGATCAAATTATGCAGCAAAAATTAACAAGCAATGCAAACATTTCTCAAAAACTTTAGATTTAATACCAGTTGGAGCTCCATTTAATTATTTTAATTATATTAACAATTAATTTAATTAATGCTAATGCCACACGGACACTCTGGATTGCTGTTATTGTTTATTTCCGCGTTTTTGACCGTATGTTTTGGTGAATGGTGGGCAACTGATTTTTCCAGGCGTAAAGAGCAGTTTATTTTATGACACAGATCTTTTTACAGAAGCAATGCTGTTTGTGAACATTGTTTTAGCCCACCATAGAACTATTATTATCTATTTAATACATTTACGTTGCCCTCGAGAGCCTCGGACGCGACACCGATCCTCCTCATAATAAAGTAATCTAACGCTAAATAATGAAACTCTCAAGTTACCAGATATCAGCATACACAAGTTAGTACTGAGTAAATTACGTCTGTCAACACATTATAAGATACGATACGCACCTGACACAAAGTGCTCTGAGCATATTCTTGCGTGTTTTGAGGGAGTTTCTTGCCTGTTTATCTTCGCAAGCCATAACCTCCGTGGTTGTTCTGACAAAAGCTTAGTCTTCTCACATTCATGAAGTCTAATGATGGGTATACTGTAAAATCCAAGTTTAACGGAACCTCCGGCACGATTTGAACATCCATTGACCCAGCAGGAGATGACCATTTTCAACTTTATCACGACATTAACACGTTTCAGCTTCTTTTTCTATTGTTTTACCCACAGAATGCCAAGACAAATGGCGCCGGGTCGGCAAATCCCCGTATGTAGTGACGTCATGTGGGAACTATGTATAGAATGAACGCAACACAAAACTCAGAAGTTCTGATCCAATTGATTTTGTTTTAACTATTAGAAAAAATCCTTAACTGCTTCTCATTCAGTCTACAGCTGAGTTTAGTGTAGAAGGCAACACACTATTGCAAATATAGTGTGTGATCACACAACAAATTCTGGGGGAGAAACTCTGGACCCCGTGTTAATGGGTGTAGACTCAGGTCGTAGTGAATGTCCCCACCAAGATTGGAACCAAACCTACACCATTGCATAACGGTGATGTCACATGAATGCAACCAGGAATGTTTTTCAGTGTGATGCGAGTCAAATCACGAATGGGTTTACTGCTTACAAATGTATCTTTACATTGGGCAAACTCACCCAATTATGACATGCAACTGAGCCAAGGAATCGTCACTCACTTATCTCCAAAGTGGATGAGAGTACATACTGTGTGAGATTTCATTACACTTTGAAGCAACTTTTGTTAAAGTTAAGTAAGTAAGTAAGTAAGCTTTATTTATATACCGCCTTTCACAGACCAGAGCCACAAAGCGGTTTACAATTGTTATTTTTTGGGCACTTGTCCTCTCACTCCACACAGAGATGGGAGCGGGGTCGCCGAACAGGAGGCGTATGCCAGATCTATTGTACATATTTTTAGTGGTAGGGGAAACCGGAGTACCCGGAGGAAACCTACGCAGACACGGGGAGAACATGCAAACTCCACTCAGAAAGGCCCTGGTCCGGCCGGGATTCGAACCCAGTACCTTCTTGCTGAGAGGCGAGAGTGCTATCCACTCAGCCACCGTGCCGCCTGAGTTAAACTCATCATTCTATCAATGTGCAGAAGCCAGTACTTTTCCCTTGTTTTGACTTCTGAAGGCCAAGCTATATGGCCCCGTGGCAGCTGCTGATTGGAGGACTGCATTCCTCCATGCTGTATAATACACTTGCTGTCGTAACATCCCTTGTTCGTGTTGTTCGTGCTGTCTCTACCATCGACAATAAAACATGTCTTCTGTCTGAATGAAAGACGCGATCCCAGACTTTGCAGTCTTCTTCAACTGTTTAAGACTAAACAACATTACAGGGACTGAAGCAAAGTTACAAAGTGCAGCTTTAATCCGCTACAGCAATGATCTGGGGAAACCACTATAAACATTGATCATATTTCTGCTGGAAGCGGGCTTCTAACCACTAACCTTGTTTTCAAATAAATCAGGTCTTCAAGAGAGAATAATTGTATGGATGGTATCTTGCTGGATCCTGAGTGTCTGAAGTGTCACCACCCTCGTCCTCATGGATAACATTAGTCTGGACACGACCCTCATCCGCCATTATATAATAGCATCGGTGTGTTTATATCATATACTTATATCCTTTACTCCTTTTAATTGGTAGTTCACAGAGTATATAAACTAGTCAACATCTAAAGATGACAATCTAAAGATGACAATCATAAACATGTTTCTACTTTTATGTTCCATAAAAGTAGCACATGTGATTCACTGGATCAAGCGATATGCATCTTGTTATACCTTACATTGCAGACAAGCCAGACTAAGGACAAATGCGTAATTCATTAGGCCATCTTCAAGTACAATGGAGAGATATAGTGCAGTTGTGCTGTTATAGTAAGGTGTTAAGACTTGTATTTGATTGGCCACTGAAGTCACATTGAGAAACACACAGCGGATGTTTCATAATCGAAATGAGTGAACGTCCAACATGATATACATCCGTACGACAGAAGCGACAGCGCTGTACTGAAGTTTGTGTAAATCACGGAGTTTTATTTTACCTGTTTCGTCTTCTTAAACCTTCACGCCGTCAGTCGCATCTGACAGGGCGCAGACATCTTGGTCTACAGGCGCTGGTCCTGAGGCGCCCCCAGCTGGCCTGGAGGAGGCAATGCTCAAAAAGTGCAATCACCAGAATATACTTAACACATTAATTATTTTTCAGCGAGGAAAATAAAATGCGTTAACTGCTTTAAAAACTTCGCATTTTGGTCACTGAAACTTTTTTTTGTCTTACTTAATCATTCCTAGGAGAAAGGTCCTTCTGTAGCTAGTTGCCCTGGGATTGACCTTCATCGAATCCTCTGACTACCACCACAGACACATCAGATTCAACCTTCAATAAGTGTCATTTGGATGTTTAACACTTTACAGCCCCAGCATTCTCTGTGGTATGATGTAAGCACCCCATGCATCTGGTAATCCCAGTCTCCCATCACACTACCATCTTTGCTTAGCTTCTAATATGAGGTTAGGCTTTCACATGCAGGTATGAACACAATAAACAGAAGACAAGGGCTCTTCTTTTTAGCTCAATTATCTTACATTTACTTAAACACACACAAATGTTCCAAGTCAACTGTGTTTGTACTTAAACATTTATTTGAAATGCAAGAAATGACATTGTAACATGAGTAATCTGACAGTGATCCCCTCAATCTTTTCTGAGGTGATAATCAACAGTGATTCCTTTAAAATTGATCAGTCAAAATAGACAGTAACAAATAAGTGCAAAAGTGACAAAAATGGCTTGAACAAATTCAAATGAACCCCCTGAGAAGCATGTTCATGAGGTGTAAACCAGCTTCCAGTTTAATAGATGAAGAATTCTCATTGCCTAAATGTAAATGTAGATACAAAAAGGCACAAAGATTCACAGCATTATCGTTGCATTTGAGGTAAAACTGCAACTCATTTGAGACACAAGTGTTTTAAAGCAAGTTAAAACTCATTCACAATTTTAAAATGACATCATTTGTGATCCACAGGTCAGCTTTGGGTCACTCTTTGGAGGGCGGTTGAGCTCACATTAAGGCAGTGTTCATTAGGTAAAAACTCCCTCAATAGGAACGACAGGAGCATCTATCACAGGCCATGAAGAACAGAAGACATTTATTACATAGAAAACATTAAAAAATATTGTTGCATGGCACTTACATACACCAATGTTTTATTGGCTTCACAGTCTTGAAAAATATTAAAAACGGTCTCCATATCAGTCTTCTTGAGTACCAGAACATTAGAATCTGAAAGAACGAGCACATTCACGGAGGATATTTGACCAGTGTGAGGATATTTCTTTCTTACATTTGGCATTGATGAGGCTGTGCGCGCGCTCTCGGGTCTCGTTCTTCTCTTCGTCTGTGCGAGGAGCTCCCGGAGCCACAGGATTGGGCGGCCACAGTTTGGCACGGAGTGTATCAATGTATGCTGCCATCTGGGCTTCAGTTGGGTTCATTTTGCTCAAGAACGAGTTGATTTTTCTGTGGAAAACACCCACACAAATACATTTGCAGAGCAGCAATAAATTACTACATTACAATTTGTGAATAAATATGTAGTTTGTATCATGAATTGCATCCCGAATTCTAGGTGACCTTTTAAAGAGTCAATCCAGATTTTTTAATTGTACTACTTAAAAGTAGTGACATGTTAGTCCCATATGAACCAGCCCGGACTCTGAGGAGCACAGGGACTGGACTCCTGTTAGTGCCCAGAGTCAGAACTAAACATGGGGAGGCTGCTTTTCAGATTCATGCTGCTAAAATCTGGAACAGTCTTCCTGAAGATGTGAGACAGGCCTCCTCTCTGACAATGTTTAAGACAAGGTTGAAAACAGTTCTGTTTAGCTGTGCATACAACTGAGGGATTTTATATTTTTATCTTTTTTTTTTTTAATGTACTGTGATTATTTATGATTTTAATGCTTTCTTGTTCTGTTTAGCACTTTGAATTGCCTTGTGTATGAATTGTGCTATACAAATAAACTTGCCTTGCCTTGCCTACTTTGGCTGTAGCTGATTTACAAATTACTGCAAATGCTTGAGTTAAATGTGTAAAAGTGGAAGAAACAAAAAAACAATTGTTTTGCCTGTGTTATCCCACAGGTTTTTTAACTCATTAAAGCTGAGGTACCCAACTTTTTGTGTTTCTTCCAACAGATGGACAGAGGCTTGTGAAGAAATCAGAACACCACATCCTGTCTTTATCTTATTTGTAAGACAGCTTAAGACAGTCACTTTAGTGCTGGACTCCACCGGCTGCGTCTCCGTTTACGCGCGTAGGCTGCTGCCCATCAGACGTCCGTAAAACGGAATAGTGGCCACACCGGCTGCAGCAGAGCGCAGCTCTGGCTGTGCATTTATCAGCCCTGTGAGGCTATGTTTTGAATAGAAGAAGCGGTGTGTGATTTGCATGAGCTGTGGCTATGATCTATGCAAAGCACGGCATATTGAAGCATCGAGGACGTCACGATGGATGAGGCAAAACTTATTGAAAGCAATTGGAAAAAGGGGAGAGAGAAAAGAGAAAAGAACTCCAACATATCCAGACTTTTTTGAAAGCGAGTCAATATTAACATTACGCAAAAAATAAACGGAGGATTTACGATCAGGAAACAATTATTTCAATTTAACACATGAAAATAAATTACACACATTTGTTAATAATCATTGTCATTAACAAACACTTATAACCAGGACCACAGCATATATCAATACATGTATTATAACGTGGTAAATATATTTTTCCATTAAAATTTCCAATGGAAAACGGACCAGACACGCATCAACGTACGTAAAAAATAGGATTGTTTCAATTTCGTCCGTTGCACCCTGCGTTGACAGACTGCTCCCTACGCGCGTTATACGGACGCATGTCACGGGCAGTGGAGCAACTTCCATTCACCCTCATGGAGAAAATGGAAACAGAGATGAAGCGGACATGTTTGGACGGACACGTTTGGACGAATACGTAGTACGTTTTAAGGAGCCGGTGGAGTCGGGGCCTTAGGCTGAGGGCTGATTGGCTGAGTAAGGGTGATTTTCTCGGATTACTTTTTTGTCAGAAAAAGCTGATCTAAAAAAGGGAAAGATGAGGCCAAACATACATGCATTTTTAAACCAGTGATAGAGCCACTCGATTCGTTTGAGAGCAAAGACCTAATTTGAAATAATTCATTGCAGACATTCATATATATACAAATCCCCAGCTTTAAGTACTTTGGATTTACCCATTTTCACAACAACATATTCCAATCAGAAGCTGAACTGTGAGGACCAAATTCTTCTGCCCAATTTATCACACTGTAAAACCACACAAAATACTTACTTTTTCAGAATGGGCATCACAGGTTTGAGGATAGCGTCAAAAATATTCATTAAGATGGAGTTTCCTGTTGAAAAACACAGACAGTGAGCTGGTCCTGAAGGGTATTGTGATGCAGCAGCGCACCTCAATGAACAGATTACCCTTCACACAGAGCTATTTATGAGAGCAAATGTCAGAGTAAACATAAAAGCATGGCTGATGGAGGCTTCAATGACTCGCTTCACAAATGACACACCTCTCAACAAGCACAACACTGGAATTAGCCTTTTATAGCTTCTGTTTGTTCTTCAGTTTGATTTTCTAAATGCAAAATATGGATGCTTTCATCTGACACTGGGTTAGAAACACGGCACATGAAAAAGCCCAAGAGCCATGTCACCAGCTACAAAGAGGCATGAAATAAAAATGAGCATTCAGTGAGAACCGTTTGTATAGAATAACAAGAGCAAAAGAATAAATTAAATGTGTGCTGTTTTCGTAAGTCTATTCAACAAAAGACATCAATCCATTATTCCACTAGCATGTAAGGCTGCAGCTACGTTTTCTTCTGTAAAATGGGAGTTCAATAAAAAAAACAAAAAAAAAAACAAGTTATGCTGTTGATTTTGAAGTTGTACATTTAACCTAAGACATAATTTGACAGATTACCGTAATAGACTTCACGACTAATAAGTTCACTAGAATTATCCAGTATGTATTTGGCCTAGTCATGGTCCACAGAAAGTATAGACAGTGAAAGTATGTATGCAAGTGAGTAGGTCATCTTGATAATATACTTCTGTCTATTAGCCACTGTGTTTTTGAATGTTTTTCTGTTTTTATTGGTTTTTACTGGTTTTATGTCATAGTTGTTCTGTAAAGCAACCCTGACGGTTTGAAAGGCACCTAGAAATAAGATCTATTTTTATATGGCGCATTTCACGGCCCAAGGTCACAAAGTAATGCATCAAACAAATATTTCAAAAATTCAAGTAATGATCCACATTTGAACATTGAGCCACCATGTTCAGTTTGAGAATCACTGCTCTAGAATAAGTAGTGTGTGAAGAATAGTTAATCAGCGTGTTCAAATCTCAAACTGCCTCCAAGGTGCTGGTTCTGAGCTTCACCAGGAAAGTGCCCATTACCATAGCAACACTATGTTTACACTTTGTTCTGATGGTTTTAGCTTCATTCCAGTACAAAAATGTTCAAACTGATGGAAGACTAATCACAGACCACACAAACACCAAATTATAAACGCTACTAACCAGAGATCTCTTTGAGTAGATCAAATATGACTTTGGTGGTCTCCTGTTGTTCCCAATTGACCTGACTTTTTTGGCAAGAAGAATCCTCTCCTTTGGGTAAAGTCTCCTGCTCCTTTCCCAACACCCTGCTTAGCCCATGAGGCACTTTGAAACTTTTCTCCTTTGTTTTTGGCCAGGCAAAGATCGAATTCTGTGTTGAAACGTCTGCATTGTCCATCTCTCCGTTTGCCTTCTCCTGTTCCTCATCGTCTGTAAGTTTGGTTTGAGATAGAGACTCCTGTGACCTGGAGCGGCTCAGTCCTTTGAACAGCATTTTAAAGTGAGCGCTAATAGGATTATCCGAGTCTTCCGTTCTGTCTGGGCCACAGGTGGAGGCAGACGGTGGCTCATTTTCTGCTTCAGTCTCTTTTTGCGGATCTTCAGCGGTGTCACAAGAGGAGATAATAATAGTTGGTACGTTAGGGCCAGAAATATCACTTTCAGGTGTGATGCTTGGACTGTCTGGACGAGAATTTGCTTTGGAATGTGTCACTGTGCCAACTTCGGGAGATTCATTTTGAGAGCTACTCATCTGTAAAGAAAAGACGGTGGGTCACCACAAAACAAATTAAAATTATACATACATCTCAGCAGCAGAAGTACTAGAAATGTACCAAAGGGTTTGTGACTAAAAGGCTCAACTATTAACCGTCTTCTTTTGAGATTGGAATATTGAGTTAAGCAATTCATTAATTGGAACAACATTTGTGCTGGTGCTCCTTCTCTGTAAAAGCTGATCTAAAAGATGTGACAGGCTTATAATATATGCATGTGAAACTAGACATAGCTCTTAAAATTGGTTCTAGGAACTAATTGTTTACCATGTTTTATACATAGTTATTTTTGCATGTTTTCAAAGTTGGATTCTTAAAGCTGCACTAACTCACTTTTTGAAATTTTCGAAAGTGAGCGCTGGCCTCGATCTTTCTGCTTGCCCTCCCTCCACTCACAGAGTTATCATCCCCCCCACTCCGCCTGTGCTTATGTGTTTACGGAGCTCATGTCTCACAATAAGGATCGCACATTTGAACGTGGATGGCGTGACCATAGAACAATAGAACCGGGAAGCGAAGAGGAACGAGACTTTCTTTTGGCTGTTTCGCTGTGTAAGCAGTGAACGAAGTGAACGAAGACACGGGAAGCTTCAGGTTTACCTCCGCCGCTTGTTTACCTCAGTTGCCTGTGCTAACGAGAGACCTGTGGCTTTTCTCAAGAAAGTGGGGGCCAGTGGTCCGCTGTGATTGGTCACAATCTGGTCCTGAAACCAATTATTTTCCTTGTTGCACAAAAACTCGATCTAAAATGACACGCCAGCACAAATCTGCTCTACTTTTTCTTCAAAAGGACGTATATCCCAATGCACTGCATGGATATGGATTGAATGTTTGTAATGAATACAAAAATAAAGTGAGGTAATGCAGCTATAAGCTTTGTTGCTGTGTCTAAGCCAAAAGTCTTCTACTTCTAATGCACTTATTCTACTAAACATTAGGGCATCTTCAACAGAAACCTTCTTCCCCACTAGACACTTGTGATTTGAAAAGAACAATGTGTTTTTCCTTCACCTCCTCCTCTTCCTCTTCTTGCCCAGGTGTGAGGAAGTACGCCAAGCCACTGAGCAGACCCCACACTCCGCCATAATGATCTTCCTCATTAAGCAACTTATCAAGTGGACACAGAAACTGGAACACTGGTTGAGAGCGGCCGATTATTTCATCAGAAACCACTTCCTATAAATCCAAAAGCAGACAGTGTAAAATGATAATATTGTATATTATTGAATAGAATGAATGCTGTGTTGACCTGCAGAAAGTGCTCCACTGATAGTCGAGTTTCTTCCTTCACTTCATCCATATCTTGGTTTTCCTCTAGAATTAATATGGTAGCCAAGCTGCTAGAGTCCTGAAAAGAGATAAGGGAACCTTTATTTGTTCCACAGTGGAGAAATGCCAGAGTTGCAACGCATATTACAGAGCAGAGGGAATTGTAGCACTCAAAACAGGATGAATAGGAGGCACTAAAGCCATGTAAGCAAGTTATTAATGAACGCCAAAATATAAAATGAATATAAATGTCTGTTCTAATTCCATCAGTCTTGTCGGTTCTTCTCCAGTGGGATTATTTTTGAAACTGTTAAAAAACAGACACTAATTAAATCCCTTTTTACTTTAAATTGAAAATAGGGAAATGAAAAGGGATTTAAACAAGAAAAGGATTCTAATTCAGCGTTTTGTTAGCATAAAACATGGAAGTGGAAGCATTAGCCACATGATGCAAAGGGAAATGGTTTCTTGCTCTTTAAATGAAAAAGGCTGAAGCTAAAGCTGCAAGGCTTTTAGAAATTATTGCTTACAATGCAACAGCACAACGGTGGAGAACATATGGACCCAGTCTGATTTCTGAGCCTCTGGCAAGACCTCAATTAGAAATCTGTCTTGCTTCTCATTTAGTCTTACTGTGAATGTCAGCTCTTTACCCCCCAGATATCATTTTTCTCCTCCATCCCCACACATAACATATTTCATTACTCTGCTGGGTTTTTCCAATTTAAGCTTTTATGTATTCACAAATATGCTAATTAGACAAAGTATAAAAATGTTTATTGCATTTGTATGAACTAAATTTTGCTAAAAAAATATATATATTTTACTTTATTCCATAACAATAAAGTGAAGAAGATTCCAGAGGCAGATGGTGTTATCAGCCCATGTGGTGTTCGGTGCTCTGACAGCTGCCCCAACACATCCAGGGAGACAGATAAAAGTTTTAATCAGCTGCCTGCCTCTGTACCTCCATCACAGACAGCTAGAAGCTCCAGGGAACCTCTTTCCATTTCCCATATACACACGAACCTCAATTTGATAAAGACATTTGACACAGGGTAAAAGACTGTGGACCTACTGGTGTTTTTAACAATCAATATTAAAGTTAATGGTTTAAATCAATAATTAAATTGATGACTGATATGACTGAGCTTAGTGGAATTCCTCATTTCATCTTATGCAGGCCGGCCTATGTTTACTTCTGAATGCATTAAAACAGCACTTTCAGTTACGTCCTCACTCCTTTTCATAGACAAATGGAGAAAAACCAAAATATTCAACGTTCACTGTTCAGATGACGGCCCAACAACAACACGGTGCACCTTGAAAACAGCCGCGTCCTTCGAGACGACTGCTGTTGCAATTTCAGGCAGTGCCATTTTAGATTGACTGTAATGCTTCATAATCGAGCATTTTACCTGCCATCTGTTGTAGAAATATACGATATCTTGGTACGACTTGCGAATGTCCCACTGCAGGTTTTCGGGGCTGCCTTTTTCCTCCAAATGAACTGTGAATAGCAGCGCCTCATTCTCGACGTCGGCCTGGGCAGAAAAACATTGTGTTTAAAAAAAAAAACAAACAAGGACAAGTGAAGGCCTGTGATAAGCCTTCTGTGGAGAGGGCACTGGTCTGGCATGAAACTCATAACTCACCTGAGGAATGGTGACAGCCCACTGGCCGACTCGCCACATCTCATAGGACAGCTTGAACTCCATCATATCTTCTTGGACAGTTGCCAAGTAGTTTTCCAGATCACTATCCTCCTAAGGTTGTTAGTCCACAAGCTGACATTGAATCTTTTCACATACGCGAGTAATACTGTGCATACACTGGCCTCACCCTGTCCGAGTCCTGCTGGCTTTGCTCGGAGCCTTCGCGGCTGCTTGTGTCCTCCTCGTTGGACACGTCTCCCTGAACGTCCAGCAGCATCCTCCTCACCAGCACCTGCTCCATCTGCTTCATCTTTTTCTTTTTGGCCTTTTTGGACTTCATCTTGTCCACAAATCTGCTCCACCCTTTTCTCAACTTGTCTGAAAAACAAAATCCCATAAATGTATCCTCAGCTGAAGGGGAAGTTATTGTGACATGCAACTCCTGACCTTCTGTCTAAAAGCTCCTGTCTTAGTGTTATCAAGCATTGTGGGGTCGTGAAATGATTTTGACATATTTATACTATAATATATTTTTGTTAAAAACTTTACTTTTAAGCGCAATTAGATAGAAATATCACAAAAGAATACTCAAACAAAAATCCAATTATCACTTTTTAATTTATCACTAAATTGAGTATTTGTAAACTGTAAGCGTGGGAACGCTTTTGGAACATCTAGTATGATTTACCATTATGACATCAGGCTAAAATAGTTTTATAAAAAAGGGAATTTCTAAACAATCACAAGGCAGTATTTACAGCCGGTTAGCTTCACATTTGGAAAAAAAAAAAAAAAAGATAAAAACAAATTCAGCTCCCTCTGGTGGTGGCATAGGGAGTTACAGAAGGAAAACATGTTAACCCTTCACACTTGTGTCACCTTATATTTTCTACAAGATATTTCACTGATTCTAATAATCATGAAATTATGCAATCTCATTATTATCATATTTCTTTGTTGTACAATTCAAATATGTCATTTGGCAAAATCAGTCTCCCATATTGACCCAAATACCTCAGCAAAGCGTGTCGGCCATTGATTTATCTGTATTATAAAAAGACATGAGCAATGGCCATGAGAGAATAAAATCGGTCATCCCCTCCAGAAAATCATCCATCCTCCTTTATATGATATGGATAGTATCAACAGACAAACCTCTCTTTTTGCCTTTGATTCCGTTGCTCGACTCTGCTCCTTCCAGACTTCTAGAAAAACCCAAAAGCACAACACCTTTGTCAGTTTCAATTTCAAACACAGGAGGAAGCTGTCACAGCGAGAGGCTCAAACCAGTGGGATGCAGAAGATGACGGCACTCACACTTCACTGCCCTCTCCCTCATAGTCCTGAGACGTCAGAGAGGTTTGCTCAGGGTCGGATCCACTCGGCTCGTTCATGGAGCCTTTGGGGGTGGCACTGTCCAACTGGCTAACCACCAGATGGTTGAGGTTATCAGGGTCTGACAGCCATGTGACCAGCAAACCCAGTCCTGAGGAAAACATGTGAAGAAGAGAAGGTCATATGGTAACGGGTAAACTTAAACTCCCTCCAAGTCGGTAAATGTTTATGCAGACTTACAAGCTACTGAGCATATTTTAACTGCTACATATTGTGACTGTTAACTGCAGTGTTTAATAGCTTTATCATTTTATCATATATTATCTTGAATAATAGATAATGTATTGGTAAGATCTTGTATTTCTTTTTGACATTATACATCATCATCATTATTATTATTATTATCGTTTTTATGACTTTATGCTGTGCTTTGTAAATCACTGTTTTTGTGCCAAATATGTATTATTATCATCATCATCTTGTTAGATGTTTGCATAATCCGAGTGCCCTTCTCCTTTTCTTCTGTAAAGTGGGCAACAATGACACTGACACAAAAAAAGGTTATCTTATCTTAAAGGCTATATAAATGCCAAACAGATCAGTGTCCTCTTATTTACATAGAGGCAAAAGAAAGTCACAAGTTCTACTATGAGAAACTGGAAGTTTGTACAAGAATTGCCTTAGGTTTACAATGGTCTTCGATCAGAGTTCAGCAGAGCCATACAGCTAACAGTGAGAAGCAAAAAGCTACCCATCATTTTTCACTGGCCTCTGGTTTACACTGAAAACTTACAGTTCATACAATTTTAACCTAGAGTAGATTTATTTTAGAAATCATGGGGACTGGAGATCTGCCAAAAGGAGCGCTGAGATGATACTAAAAAAGGGACCAAATGAGTGCCTTTCTTATGCCATCAATCAAAGGGACATTTATGGAACATCGCGTTTTCAAGCAAAGACAAATGAAAAGATTATTGTAGATACAACAGTTTAGATACATTTAATAATATATGGAAACATCCATCATTGCAATTAACTTTTGAAGGGAAAGGGACCGATGCTGTTAATGGCACTGACAACAAAGGATTATGAAGTAAAAGTTGTTACAGAGCTAAGCCTTAGTGTAAGCTTCTATGTTGTAGCAGAGGGTGAAATGTAATAGCGTCTTACCCTTTAAAGCAAGAATCTCATTTAGGGCACAATGGTTGACTTCTTGGCCCCAGAGGGTCTTGGGAAAAAGGTTACGAACGAGTGCATCAGAAAACTCTCGTAGGACTGCAACCTCCTCCGCTCTGGAGCTGAACAAGACTTCCCTTTAAAAACAGCACAAGCACAATTTTGAATCTCTCATCAACAAAAGTATATATAACTTGGCCACATATTCAGTGGGAAAGGGTTTAACTGATCGATCCTCAAGTCACTGAGGATGGCTATAAAAGTATGGGGACAGGGGACATTATAGAGTGCAAAGGGTGATGTCATGGGTCACATATGTTGCCTCACCTGTCACTCTGCTTGGCGTTGTGCAAGTGCTGGGTCAAAATGCGAATGGAGCCAACAACGGCCTGGCACATATCAAAGTCTTTGGCTTTTTCAATGATACGATCAATTACAAAGTCAAACTCTCTGCTGAGCACCTGGTGCAGAGGTTGGTCTTCACACAGCTCTGGGACGATGTACCAGGGCAGAACAAGCTGAGCGTAGGCACATTCAAACACTGAAAGAGCCACAGTCAGTCAACAGAGGATCAGGTCCCCACAATTACAGACCTGTAAACTGTTTTACAACAAGGAGGATGTCTATAAGCTTTAATAGGCCACAGATGGCACATTACAGGCATTAAAAGATAAAGCATTATAAATTATTAACTTCAGGGATGAAACAAATATTCAGGTTGATTTAATTTGATGCAGGACTGATGTTAAACTAATCTTCCAATCCAATCCACTTTATCTATATTGCACATTTCATAAACAGTTTCCAACGTGCTACATCATTAAAAATCAATTATGAAAAACCGTGTGTGCATATATGTATATATAAAAACAAACAAAAACTAAATTAAATTAAAAGATAGAATAAAATAAGAAAAAAAATAAAAGGACCATATTTACTCCAACCTTTAAATCATATATGAAATTACTTATTACATATACAAACTTTCTGGGAAAAGAAATGTGAGATTAAAAGTACAGGCATCGCATATAAATGTCTATTGTAAATTAAAATAATGGATAGTTGAAGTCTCTAAGGAACTTCTCAGATCAAAAGTTGATTTTAAATTTCTTGTTCTAAAGAGATGACATCTTCATGAATGACAACTATGAATTGGTTAAATGTTTGGTCTAATATTCTCAATATTAAAAGACAAAACCCAAAAAAGATATCAGAGGCTATTCAAAACATATGTCACCAACAGGATGAGTTCTTCAAAAGTCCCTCCTATAGCTTCAAGTAATACGACTCCTGGCAACAACAACGGTCTATGTGCAAAACTGTTCTTTTGTGTCAAGTCAAAACATTTCAGCATTTCTTTTTGTTGACAAAGCACATCCACAAACACAAGGTCAATCCCAAGGCTTTCAATGTGCCAGAAAACAGTTTTACTTCACAGAAATTAGTCATCCTGCTCCTTTGCAAAAACATGCCTCACCTTGCTGCAAAGAGCTTTTAACTTGTGGATAGTGAGACTCCAGTGGCTCTGCTTTACTACCACTTGCTCCATCTTTAAAGTCACCAAAGAGCTGCTGCCCAATAGTTTCCTGAAAATACAGGCAGGTTAAAAAAGGAAGACAGGACAAACAACAGCTATTGTTGTATCTCTCCTGCACTGGGTGAAAGTTATAACCTCAGGCCACTCTCAAAACAACACTTAAATATCTTGTTTAGGCTCCCCCAGGCGAAGTATTAAAAACCCTTATGATGCAAGCCATACCATTGCCTGAGTCTCCAAAGACGATCATAACAATGTGTCACAGTTTTATAGGCTAGATGACCACATGACCAGTGCGGTGATAACGAGTGTAGAAGTAATCATTACCAGGATACTTTTCTCTTGGCTCTCCTCGTCCGTCTGAGTGCTGCTCTCTCGCCCTGCGTTCCCCCATAACAGTGGAGTAGTAACACATAAAACAAAACCTACAAAGTATTGCACAACAGCGCGCCCGCAATCCGAAAAATACCAAACCAACCCGAGCGTTATGGCGATGGAGAAGCGCCATAGATACATCTTCATTTCCTACAAGAGCCGCCTTCTGCTAACGTGGCTTACTTTGATCCGAGCAGCTGTGCATGCAATAGAGCGACCATGCCTCAGCTTCATCTTATTCCCAAAAATAACCATAAAAAACAACTTTCACTATGCACCAAATGATACAAGCGCAACTGCCAGCAAACTTCATCAAAGTGGAGAAACGGTGAGGTGATTGGCTGCAGGGACTTCCCGGGTGTGGGCGCTTAATGATCAGGGCTGGGGCGCCATCTGGAGGCTGCAGAGGAGATGGCAGCATTGAAATTATATTGAATAAATGTAGCAGGTTTCTTTGTTTTTGTATTTACTTGTTATGCTTACGGTGCATGAGTGGGATCGATGAATTCATTAGTGGTAGGCTAGTACATGTGCTAATTGTAGAAAATGTACATTGATTGAATGCTAACCATTTCAATTATTAGCCTGTTTATTGTATGCATTTTCAGAGACACAAAAATCGGGTGGAAAGCTTTTATGTGTAAAATAAGATTCAAAATATAACATTGACACTGCCCATTCAAAATGATCCAAATAAAACAAAGCCTTTTTTAACGTCTCTTTGCTAATGGACATGAGAAATGCCTCCAGACATTCTCATTCTGACCCTACTTTAACACTTGAAAGGCAAAACACTGAGATTAAAATGTATACGTGGTCATCTTATAGTAAGTAATTTAAATGTATAAATGGAGTGGCTGGACTGAGCAGTGCTTTTTATATACTGTATGAACGGTTGTATTGAATTTAATTAACCATAAATGGTAAGGCAAACTGGAGTGCCCGTACGACAGTGAGATTCTGACTCAACACGGGAAGGGCCAGTGCCGCTCCGAGTCAGGCTGTAAGGAGAAAGCTCAGACTACTGTAGCCAATAAGCAGAGGAAGCTGTGAAATATTTACATTAACTCCTGTGCTGACCTGATCAACAGTGAAGTACCCACGGTGTAGTAGTAGATATATTCCAATAACAAAACACAGCATTCACTCATAAAGTTTGCTTTATTTCTCAGTACCAGCAACATTCCTGTGCTCAGGGAACAACATTCTGGTGTGGGGTAAAACAAGTTAAAAGAAATGGCAATGGTCAGGAATAGCTTGTGTAACAGAATCCCTCAGCTCAACTAGTTACTTACCACTAGCTGGTCCCAATAAATATAATCATTTAAGTTCTTCCAAATGTACAAGATATGTTACAATTACTCTTTAAAAAGAGAACAGCGTAGATGACATTTACAGCACTTTCTTAAGCTCATCATACAAGACAAGTACAAAAGCACCACCCATGCCTCTGAGGACATTAGACCATGCTCCCTTGAAGAAAGCCTTGCCACCTTCATCGCGGGCAATCTTCCTCCAGCAGTCCATAGTTCCGGAGTACATGATATCAGCTGTAATAAACACATATTTTAGGTGATTGGAGACAAAACAAACATGAACTGCATCAACTTATGAGTGCGGAAGCATATTACGCAGCATGCCTTGATATTTATTCATCAAACTGGAAATTCTCCATTGTGAGATCAATAAAGTATATCTCATCTCATCTCTCTGGTATGGAGCGCATGTTGTAGATGTTAGATTTGGATTGTTGTGTCAATTACCTCCTTTGCGACCAGACTGCATCATCATACGACGACGAACGGTGTCAAAGGGATAGGACGCGACACCAGAAACAGCAGTCACACTTTGTGCAATCATCCAGCTGACAAATATGTGTGTATTCTTTGGATCAGGAAGCATCCCTTCAAAACAGAAAAAGAAAAAGTACATTTTATTAAACTTTGTTGACCACACAACAATATTTAGGTGTGTTTGGAACCTACCCTTTGCTGTATCATAGATTCCAAAGTAAGCAGCTCTGTAGATGATAATGCCCTGCACAGAGACGCCGAATCCCTGGTACAGGCCTTTGATGCCATCAGACTTGGAGATCTTCACCAAGCAATCCCCTAAACCTTTGAACTCACGCGTAGCTCCTGCTTTACCAACATCAGCGGCAAGACGTGTTCTGGCAAAGTCCAGGGGGTAAACAAAACACAGAGAGGTGGCTCCGGCCGCTCCACCAGAGGCCAGATTTCCTGCAAAGTATCTCCAGAACTGCTTGTGCTTGTCAACACCATCAAGGAAAACCTTCTTGTATTTGTCCTTGAAAGCAAAGTTAAGGGCCTGAGTAGGGAAGTATCTGATGACATTGGCCAGGTTACCCCTCCAAAACGAGATGAAGCCTTGTTCTTTGGGGATGCGGACCACACAGTCTATGATACCTTTGTACTGCTGATCAACTGCTATCTGCTTGCTGGCATGTTGCACCTAAACACAAAAAAAGATTTAAAAAGAACATTTTTAAACACATCAGAGCACAATTATAGCACCAAAGCAGCCAATCAGAGTGACCTATACAGCCTATCCCAACACGTGCAGGATGTCTCAGACTGACCACTCCACAATTCCCAGCCCCGCCCCCTTATGTTGCTTGTGGGACCAGGCCCAAAACAGCGGAGGGCCTGGTCCCACAATCATGGCGCAAGCCTTGGTGTGACCTTGGAAGTTGATTGTCACTCCGGATCAAACCATGTAAGTGAAAGTTATGATGCTTTCCATTTGTGATTTTGCCATTTGATGCTCAATCCAACCCCAGCTTGATCTGTGCATTACGTAACTGTGATGCGCCACAATCACGCTTTACTGATCCATCTTTGACATGCATGTTCTGTCTACACTGGCATCATTTCTCTCATCTCTGCACAACCAGAGTGTTCCAAAAACTATCTACTCGTGAGAGATCTAGTACAGATGGTGCAGTGGTGTGGCTCTATTGCTGCAGCTGGACCGATAATCATGGGTCTTACCTGGAGGAGCAGCTTCACTCTCTCGATTGGTGCTACAGCTGTTTTTGAGATGGCAGCCGCAATGCCACCAGCCATGAAGTCCTTGAGGAAAGACATCGCCTGGTCACCCATGTTGAAATCTTGAGCAGGTGCTGAGGGGGCTTGTAGAGCTTGCGGACAGGGTCGAAATGGACGAGTGCGATGTTGAGGAGAGAGGATTTAAGGGAGGAAACACTCTCTTGTATCGCGGCTTCTGATTGGTCCATGAAGGCGCGAGGGGCGGGGTTTCAACCATGTCCTTGGATACAGTTTTGGTGCTGTGTCTCATCACTCGCATATATTATAAAGTTTAACTACTAACACCCAGACTTATAAGAACATATTGTTACAAAATATATTTAATTAGAATATATTTAATTATTATTTTAGCGGAGGGAAGAGAACTTTGAAGGCAATGCTGGTGAAGGTCGCGCATATGTCAGTGGAAACAGCTGGGAATTGACATGGGACTATGGCGGGGAAAGGTCACAGTTTAGTGAATGTCCTTTGGTGTCACAGTGGTCACGAGTCTGAATGTGTGGATTAAAGTGATTGAATTAGATGACCAATTAATTACTCATGACCAGTGGTTCACTTTCTTCACACATGACCAGTAGGTAAGAATCAAACAGATCGATCACTCATTAAAAACAAATATTTAATAAAAACATAGGTTGTCATTTGTTAATAAAATTGACAAAATGAGCGTTACATTTACAAGAGTTAGCTTGTCTGGGAGAATATGAGAAATTATGACAGTTGTTTAAAAATATATAAATATATCTTTTGAATGGAAAAAGTGCTACAAATGTTGGCATTGTTGAAAATTGGCCTAAACCAACTTAGAAGAAGTTACTCTAAAACACAGCACCCTGGCTACCCACACACGTTTCCCTACATTTTCTGAATTATTTTTATTTTATTTATTTCGGTCAATGATTATAATTGTCTTATATCTCTTTGTATGAGAGTTTCAGGGCCCCTCCCTTTGTCTGTTTAACATCAAATTTCAGAAAAAACTGTCGCCTAAAGGGTCGACATACTGCTGCGTTGTATTTGAATCTACTTAAATATGTGATCAAGTTACATGATACAAATACAATTGTGCTTTGTAAGTGCTGAGCGAGGTCTTGCGGTTATTGTAAAGTCTTGTAAAGGCATCTTGTGTACACACATTTTACCAACATTTCCGTAAAGAAGTCCCCTCTGATCCAAAGTTTCTTTTCCCGTAGCGCTTCACCTCCTCCAGCTCATGAGGTCCAAGACTCTGGTCAACGCCGGGGGCAGGTGCGTAGCTCAGTGGGGAGATGATGTAGCCGTTGCGGTAAAGGAAAACTTGTTTGCACATCTCAAAGCAGGTAAATAGCAGACAAAAGTAGGGAATAATCTGTGAAGACGACATTATTATGTTAGTAAAGAATAATATGTGAGGATATTATCAAATATGTGTCTTGAAATTTGTGAAGATTAAACACTAACATTAAACAGCTTGTTAGAAACTGCTTTTATCATCTCAGAAACATATCTAAAATTCAAAACCTTGTAACAAAAGGACTTGGAGATGATCCTTCATGCCTTTGTTTCCACACGTCTTGACTACTGCAACTCATTGTTTACATGTCTTAATAAGAATGCTCTTAACAGACAATTTGTGCAAAACTCTGCTGCCAGACCTCTTACAGGAACCCCCCGGTGGTCTCACATGACCCCGGTCCTGTCTTCACTTCATTGGCTCCCAATTAAATTACGCATTGATTTAAAAAAAAATTGTTTTAACTTTTAGAGCCTTAAATGGTCAGGCTCCATTGTACATCTCGGACCTCTTGACCCCTCACTGCTCTGGCCGTACTCTTAGGTCCACAGGCCAGAATCTACTTGCAGTCCCAAAGACCCGGGGGGACCGGTCCTTCCAGTCTTTGGCCCCCAGACTGTGGAACGCCCTGCCTCTGTCCCTCCGTGTGGCCAACTCTGCCGATGCTTTTAAAAAGGGACAAAAGACACTTCTTTTTAGGGCAGCTTTTAGTTAATTTCTTGTTTTTTATGTTGTTATTATCTTATTTCTATTGTATATACATATCTACTTTTACCTTGTACAGCACTTTGTGATTTACATCTGTGAAAGGTCCTCTATAAATAAAATTTACTTACTTACTTACTTACTTACGTTACAATTGTCCTTTATTACATGCACAGGATATCTGCACCATGTTGTTCCTGCTACAGCCACTACTACCCCTCCCTTTTCAAAGCCTCCAGTGCTGGTCACAGGTTACATTTTGTTCTCAGTCATAAAGTCACTTGTGTTCCCAAGCATGTGCAGTAGTTATTTTGGTTGTCATTAAAGTTTCTAAGTCAAGTCCAAGGAGACTTAAAGAATAATTATAATAAAAAATGGTGCAACAGTAAATAATGTGAAAGTACCTTAACTGTACTTGCGGTGAAGCCATTCCAGAGTGAAAAGACACCCTTGTTTCTTACAATCTGAACAAAACAGTTCATCATCCCATTGAAATGGACATCAACACCACCAACATGGGGAAGCTGGGCACTCTGCGCCTACAATCAAACAAACATAAACTTAAACAAGCCGAGATGTTAGTATATACAGTGTATGTATGTTGTATAAATATGGACGTATATCGACAACTGGAGAATATCATAATTCAACAGGAAATGCAACATTGTTGTTGCTTTTGTTGACCCGGTCTTTATCCTGTCTCTCGCATTAATACAATATTATTGTCAATGTCAACGTCCGAATGGAGTCCCGCCCACTTGGAAGTCTGCTCATGTCCCATGACGTCATCTCTGTCTTTTATTCAGCCACTGCTGGCGCACTCCTTGAAAATGTACTACAAACACGTTTATCTGATTTTCAAAAGATTTTTAATGATTCTATCATCATGTTATCAACACTTATAACAGAGGGTGAACTTTGACACACTCTGAGAGAAAAGCATGAATGTTATAGGCCTTACTGTATATTATGATGTGAAGTTACAACAGAGGAAACTTGATATTCTGCATGAGAGACTATTACACATTCTATTAAACCATTTAATATTTTAATAAACTGTTAAAAGAGTGAGTTTTCAGCTGTAAAAGCACATTGTAAATGGGCTTTTTTCCCAAATGTGTTCATTGTAAAATGTTATTAAACAAGCAAGAGCACAAATCACACTGTCCCTTTAAGGAATTCATTATATTCCTTATAGTTATCTGCCAAGAACATCATCTGACAGAGACGCAGCTGGAGCAGCAGGAACAGCTTCAACGATACCTCTTTTAGAAACATGCTGTAGTTACCACCACTTCTCCATTACCCTCTCGTCCAAAGCCAAGCTCATGTTATTTTCAGAAAATGCACCCATTCTATAGTCAAACATGAAGTCTGCTTGTTGTCTGACAGTTACTTTCTATCTTGGAGAACTTATCTATAGTTTCTGCCGACACAGGGCACATTCACATTCCCAGCTGTTGGGAACCTTGTGGTGGCTAATAATAGTTTGATAAACCGGATGTACTTTTCTGCCCTTTGCTGAGCCATTGTTGATCATTTACACTGACAAGGATACGTGTATGTCTTATAAGACTATTGGAACATTAAAACTGACTATGGGCAAAACTGACCATGGAAATTTAAACTACTTAAAAAACATATATATATGTACACATCTTCTGCCCTCTTATTATATGATTATGAAATTGTATTTAATGAACAATTCTATTCTATTTGTTTTTGTATAGCCCTAAAAGATACATGCCTCGCTTTCTAAACCTCATTAAAATGCCACTGAGGCAAAAAAAAAATGTGTTTGCTTACCTGCATCTTACGCTTTACAGTTTCAAATGGATAAGAAAGGGTTTGAGCAACTCCAGCTGCAACACAGCCGTTGATGAGGTTCTGAAGAGGAGTAAAACGAAACTGTGGCTCCTGCCATAGATGATCCAGATTCATGTAAACAGCATAACAGCCAACAGAGAATGGAAATGCTCCTAACAAGAAACACACATGTGACAAACAAAATATGTAACTAAATTATGCCAAATATTGATATGACGTCAAATATCAATAATTAATGTTAACTTCTATCAAAATGGTTATGATTATTGCAATGTTTAATGCTGGGTGATTATTATGTGTTTCTATAACCATTAAATTCAATTCAATGGTTCATTGAAAGTGAAAAAAAAATTCAGCCTCAATACCACTGTAGTGTGTTTCCTCTTTCTCAGAATTTGATTTTTCATTGGACCAAAAATCAGGTGTCCCAGCGCTGCTTATTAAATAGGTCGCATTCATTGTACAATATTAAACAACATCTAAATTAAAACTTGTACTTCATTGAGTTGAATTTTATTGAATGTGTTTGATGGTACATACTCATGTCCATCTCTGGGCTTTGAACCAGTATGAAAGAGACAAACAGGTGCACTGGTGTATTAATTAATTTTGAATTATATAATTTTGATATATGATTTAGATATTATTGTGTATACACACCTAGAACTGTCAGGGAGAATCCTCGATAGAGAGACAGTAAGCCTTCATTTCTGTAAATCTTTGAGATTGTATGAAGTATGCCAAAATATGTCGGCTCTCTGCTGTTCTGCGCTATGAGCCTGGTCTCTGCCACCTCGAGGGGGTAAGTGGTCAGGGCTGCTGCAACACCGGCCAGACCACCAGCAAATAGGGCCTGCCACTGGGTAATAAAGCCGGCTTCGTCCATGTGAAGATGAACAATCCTAAACACAGGGACACATTCTTAATTTTGATTTGTTGTCATCTGTAATGTAACCACAAGATGGTTTTCTAATGGCAATACTTACTTTGTTTTTACATAAATGCCCTTAGCTTACATGAATGAGTTTACAATCAACATATTAACAACATTCTATTGACACCTGTATTTAATTCAATTTGAGCATAAACTGCAAAAAAATGCAAAAAAACTGCATAAAATAACTGCAAAAATAATGTCTGTAGCTCATCTAAATGTTATTTAAAATGAATACATTTCAGACATACAATGATTGTCTGAAAGTAGAGGTAGAGAGTCCTACCCCTACACTGTGCATAAATAATAACACTTGATGATATTTTTTTGATCATTTTCATGGACAGTCCATTTTTACTGATGAAATCATATCATATGAAAGTAGGGCTGACCAGGCATTAACGTATCAGTCTAAGCACAGCACATACACAAAGCCAAGAGTATGTCATAATAACTTACTGTTTGTACAGTGTTATGTGAACTGCAGTGAAGGGAAACAGGCGCAGACAGGACACAGCATTTCCTTTCCAAAACGCTCGAAGTCCCTCATTCTGATAGATCAGAACAAAACTTTGCCAGAATCCCCGTGTGCTGTGGAAGGTCCCCACTTGACTTTTCACTTTTACTACTTCCAAAGGAGACGTGATCGTTTTACTAAATATTCCTGCAAATCCAACACATAGGAAGCTTTGAGAGCCCGTCAGTCTGTTATCTGTACTCACTACGGCCATAGTCCCCGGGCCCTTTGACAAAAACACGTCTTCGGTGACGATATGTGTGTTGTTACATCGGAAAAAGTTAAAATCCTTCACTATCTAAACATAGAGGACAAAATGTATAGACTTATCCAGAGCAGGAGTGTCAGGTGACAAACAAACTGCTTCCTGGAAAGAAACTGACACGGCACAGTTCGGCCACTAGAGGGCGCCAGTGTCTTACCGTGATTTTACTCATATCACTATCATGTAATAAGGAGTGGAGATAATCAAGTAGAAGCTCTGTGGGTGAATATTTATTTGTGTAATTTAGAGGAAGAAAAAGAGAGGTTCCTGAATAATTAAAACATAGACCGTTGAAAGGAAAAAATATAACATATAACATTGATGTGAATGTATGCATCTATAACAAATCTATAGTAAGAAATCTCGAAAGAAATCGTATTATACTTATATTTTATATTATTTTTAATTAGATATTAATTAGATTATATTATTTCAAGATAGATAAGATAATTTTAACCAAACTAACTATTCATAGACCCATGTACCTAGAAAAAGTCCAGTTACATGGATTTATATTGTATCATTTAGAGTTCAGATGTTTACATACACGTGTAAATACTTAACACAGAATTAGGCGATTAAGAGATTTAAGAGCATGTTTTAGGCGTGATATGATTTCAAGATAACATTTAAAAAATTCCACTGTATTTCATCAATTATTTCACACATAATGTTTATATTTCAGTAATTAGGCCAAATAACACAATCATTGAATTCCTAATTTAGGAGGGCCCTGACAGAAAAGTTTGAGAAGCACTGAAGTGATGATGTTTGATGATTTATCTTTTATATTTCCTTATATTTCCACATATATTTCACACAAGATCTGGCTTAATGTGCAACCAGTGCTTCTCAGCGGGGATCAAAAGCTGCTCTTTTTTTCATTGAATTGTTTGTTTTTTCCGTGTACTGGCTCACCAGGCTGACTCCCCCTCCTGCTGGGACGACAACGTACATGGGGCTGTCTGTATCACCACATGTGCTTACTTCTGTCTGTCATTAAGAAACTAACAAGAAAAAATATATATATATATTTTACATGTATACAGTTTTTATGTACACAGAATAATAGTGAACCTCAGATTATAAACTTACAGGTTGCTTAATTTTTGCCCAGAGAACTACAAAATAGTTCTAATCTTGAAACCAGTGTCCTGTGGCCATTGTTCTGCATCATATGACCTGATCAATGTTGAAAAACCCATTCATTTTGATTGTGATTATTAAAAACATCTCTTTTGATAGTTTTATCCAATAATAAAACCTACTGCTGCTGTAACAATTAACTACTGAAATTACATTTGAATCCTTAATCAAAATATTATATTGTTTATAGGGTGGGACATTGCATGTTACGGAACATACCTTTCCGGATTGTAGATAGAAAAATAAACCACACATGAACAATCCCCCACCTGGAGGTGGAATCGAACCCAGGAAACCTGCTGTGAAGGTTACATTTCCACTTCATTTTCTCTCTCAGGTAGGCTGACTCCTTGCTATTGTTGATTTTGAATTTGAATGATGAATTTAATTTGAGTGAATTATAATGATTTGGTTTCCTCAGTGAACAGTACAGTCGCAGGTTACAGAGGGAACAGTAAGGGGCTGAGTACACACCCTTGATGTAGTTGCAGGTACTGGGGTTCCTATAGAGCTGTTGTAACTTTCCTGCCAGGTGTTGGGGCAAAATGGTATTAAATGCAGCATTACTGACCTGCTGATTAGAGACAATGATAGAAACCACATCTGAGGAACGGTTGGCCTAATAAACTACTAAAGCTTGTTGAAACCACAGCTTAGTTTAAGATATTAAAGATGTCGCCAAAGCTGTCATGCTTCTTCCACTTATCTGCAAGGTACACATCCCACTGGATTTCAGCACAAGGCAAAGTTTGGCTTTGTGTGCACTGTCTTTAGAGATAGTGGTTATATTTCTATACAGCTCCAAGACTGTGTTAATGATGACAGATTCTTCCATAAATTATGGACGGTATTAGTATTGTCACAATACTCAAATGTCAAACTTTATTAAAATCTGACACACTATACTTTTGACAGCCCTAGGTAGCCCAATATTTGGAGGTCAATATTGATCATTTACAAGTTGTTTGTTTGACTGCAATACAATTTGAACTGTTGGGGTCACTTAAATATTACTATTTTTGACTTGTTTTGCTGTGTATTAGACCTATTGTAAAGAATAACTGAATAATACTAATAATATGAGCTTAAAGCTGGGGTACGTAACTTTCAAATCACAACAATACGATCAGCCCAATATGTCAAATAGTGAATCACAGGGTGCTTACAAGTACTCAAAGATAACAAACATATTTTCTCATAAGATAAAAACAGCATGCTGTGGTCTGATTTGTTCACAGATACTTTCACAAGACTCTTTCTGTTGGGATAAAAACAACATGTATTTTTTTTAACAATAAAAGATAGCTGCGCCAGTTTTAAACCAACTATTTGAGTATTATTGCATTCTTATATTTGCGGTGACGATTGAACTAACAATCTTAACAGATAACGACAATAATTAAAGGCTAAGAGACGTGGATTCTTAGAGCTTCCAGCTATCTTATCAATATGCTTCAGTAATCAAACAAAATGGCCTGTGAAACTGTGGTCACTCAGTCTCCTCCTAACCTGACCTCTTTTCTATTTGATTCAGATAGAGCGCTGCCTTCTTCCTGTGCGACCCCCCTGTATGTGAACTTCCTCCGCAGTTCGAGAGTGGCCTTTGTGCCTAAAGCGGGAGCCCTATGTAACAGTAAGTGTAGTCTGGCTGAGGCATTGTCATTCTCCGGCTGTCATGCGCAAGTCACTCCTTGATCTCCCACTTTGAAGTGCATCATGGGACCTTGAGAAAACATAGCATGTAGGCAGAGGTCAGTGTGGAGAAAATAAATAAATGTACCGATGAAATATAATCAGAACACTTTTGGTCCTAAAATCAATACAAGGTGTTATACTGTACGTATAATAATTTGTCTTCAAACTGAATGTACACATGGCCAGCCCATATGTTTTAACATGAATATGAATTTTATTTTTTTGTATTTCCAAAAAGAATTTCTAGTCCATTCATCATGGCTCTCCAAATGTCTAGTTCTGCCCTGGGAAAAAATTTCAAATTATATTTTACTCAAATATAAACATCATGGGAATGTCCAGCCATCACACCATCGCTCTGGATGAACTGCAGATAACTACAGCTGAGGTGGGGATGGTGTGTTCAGGGTGATGAGCTGTGTTGCTTTTACGCCAAACATATTGTTTTGCATTGTGGCCAAAAAGTTCGATTTTGGTTTCATCTGACCAGAGCACCTTCTTCCACATGTTTGGTGTGTCTCCCAGGTGGCTTGTGGCAAACTTTAAAAGAGACTTTTTATGGATATCTTTGAGAAATGGCTTTCTTCTTGTCACTCTTCCATAAAGGCCAGATTTGTGCAGTGCACGACTGATTGTTGTCCTATGGACAGACTCTCTCACCTCAGCTGTAGTTATCTGCAGTTCATCCAGAGTGATCATGGGCCTCTTGGCTGCATCTCTGATCAGTCTTCTCCTTGTTTGAGATGAAAGTTTGGAGGGACGGCCGGGTCTTGGTAGATTTGCAGTGGTCTGATACTCCTTCCATTTCAATATAATTGCTTGCACAGTGCTCCTTGAGATGTTTAAAGCTTGGGAGATCTTTTTGTATCCAAATCCGGCTTTAAACTTCTTCACAACAGTATCTCGGACCTGCCTGGTGTGTTCCTTTGTCTTCATGGTTCTCTCTGCGCTTTAAACAGAACCCTGAGACTATCAAAGAGCAGGTGCATTTATACGGAGACTTGATTACACACAGGTGCATTCTATTTATCATCATCAGTCATTTAGGACAACATTGGATCATTCAAAGATCCTCACTGAACTTCTGGAGTGAGTTTGCTGCACTGAAAGTAAAGGGGCCGAACAATATTGCACGCCCCACTTTTCAGTTTTTTATTTGTTAAAAAAGTTTAAATTATCCAATAAATTTCGTTCCACTTCACGATTGTGTCCCACTTGTTGTTGATTCATGACAAAAAATTAAAATTTTATATCTTTTTGTTTGAAGCCTGAAATGTGGCAAAATGTTGAAAGGTTCAAGGGGGCCGAATACTTTCGCAAGGCACTGTATCAGGGCATAAGCTTGAATTCTATATTTAGTGTGGCTGAGAGGCACACCAACATGATGTTCATTAAGAACCAGAAATTCGTAGATAACAGACCTTCAATCACCTCCAGATTAAACCATTTGTTGATATGGCAAATGTGCAACAAGAATGTAATGATGTGTGCACAAATATAATGTGGTCACTGTTCTCAGACTGTCTATAATAAGGGACACAATTCTGGCACTGCAGGATTTGAGTCCCTGACGGTGTAGTTACTGATGTTAGACTTTGTTACTTGATAACAAAGTCTAACAGCTCTCTGCAGGTCATTCATTAGGTCCCCCTGTGTGGTTCTGGGATTTTTGCTCACCTTTCTTGACCATTTTGACCCCACGGGGTAAGATCTTGCATGGAGCCCCAGATCGAGGAAGACTATGAGTGGTCTTGTATGTCTTCCATTTTCTTACTGATTTCTCCCACAGTTCTTCACACTAAGCTGCTTACCTATTGCAGATTCAGTTTGTCCCAGCCTGGTGCAGGTCTACAATTTTGTTTCTGGTGTCCTTTTACAGCTCTTTGGTCTCGGCCATAGTGGAGTTTGGAGTGTAAACACTTGCTATTAATACAAGTAACAAGTGGTGGACAGAGGAGCCTATTAAAGAAGGAGTTACAGGTTGCAAATAAATTATTTTAAAAAACAGACAATGTGATTTTCCTCATTTTGTCTATCATAGTTGAGGTATACCTATGATGAAAATTACAGGCCTCCCTCATCTTTTTAAGTGGGAGAACTTGCATAGCTGGTCGCTGACTAAATACTTCTTCCTCCATCTGTATATATTGTACCCCAGTGAGGATCTTTATCATGTTCCTAATTTAGTTACTTTTTGATTAGAATTGTGATTTTTATCGCAATTTGAGTAGTTACAACAAACAAACAAACTGCACTTTTTTAATGATGATAATTTGTGCAGCCCTGTTTCAGTGGTCAAAAGGGGGCGCTCATACCTAGCAGTGGTGTGTCTGTGATGGTCCTTGTCCTCACAGACTGTGCCAGGACCAATAAAAGTCTCACCTCATTATCTGAGACTGTCACATCACAGACTCGACCAAAAGAAAGAAAGAGGGGGAGGGACGAGTCGACACCATGGCCTGTCTGCAAGTTAGTATGTGTATGCGTGTGTTAGAAATTTTTCAACGTTTTTTGTCTTTTGGCAACAAGCTATGAATCTTATATAAGACTTTTTGGATTAACTGCAAAATCTGCTGAATGTTGCCAGTGTAAATAATGGCAATTTCAAAATTGCACAACAAACAGCATTGAGGTGAGACGTTGTCTAAAATGTAAATTTAAACCATATGCAAATCATATACTATAGACCTATTTTTAGATAATTATTATAAACAGACCTTATGGTTCTTGACACAAAATCGCTCACTTAAATGAAATTCCATTGCAATATGTTCTGTAAAATAAAACACTTTTTTAGGGAAGGAAAAGGTGAAGAATGCTCAGAAAACTTTCCACAGGTGAACAAGTGAGTTGGACAGTGGCATGATTGGATATAAAAGGCTTGGTGTTTCATGAGAAAGGGTTGAATCCAGTTATTGGTACTTGAAGGGGGAGCATGCGAGTTGGGAGAGGAGGACGAGACAAAATAAAAGACACAGCGGAGCTCTTCTGTGATGAGTATTTTCTGAAAGGCACAGTTGTACTGTGGTTAGAGCTGTCGCCTCACAGCAAAATGGTATGGAGTCTGACTCCCAGGTGGTACAATAGCTTTCTGAGTTTGCATGTTTTCCCTGTGT